CAGAGGATGACCTCTAAAGTTTGTCAGCAGTATAATTTGAGGCAAAATATTCAAAATCAACAAAAAATGTAAATCCTTCAGAATATTAGAATAGATTTCATTCCACTTACCCAAATATGTTATTATAAAATAATCCTACAATATTTTCTCTTATTATAAAATAATATTATCTCTTTAATAGGCAGATATCATTGATTATCAACAGATTTAAATTACTGACGGCAACGATGAGTGTCTGCTGACATCAGAAATATATATCAGATAAATTGATATTTACATTTTACATCATTCACCATATTTGATGTTTTAGAAGCGTATTTTTGATAAATGACCTAAACTATAAATTGTATATATTGTATATTGTGTGTTTAACATAGGAATTATAGAGAAACCCCTAATAAAGCAAATATCAAATGTATGTTGAATGTGAAAATACACATCTGTCACTGAAATTAATTAGGTATTAATTAATTAATTATATTTTAGGTATATATTGCCAACATGTAATCTAGCAGGTGACCAGCAATATGATGAACTTAACTAGAAATTCACATAAAAAATCGCTTCACTGAATTTTCTGTTGTCATCAACATTTTTTTTTAAACATGATAATGGCTATCTATAGACAACTAAGCACACAGAACATAGTTTTACATTTGAAACAACAGTGACCTGCTAACTAGTGACAAAGCATTTCTTTTACGTCAAAGTCAATTATATTGCAGATGAGTTTACGCAATTCAATTCAATTCAAATAATAAACAACTTTGTTTGGTCATGTCATCAGTCATCATTTATAATTTAGAATTTATAGCAAATATAAAATAAAACTGCATTTTTATTGATGGCAACAAAACAAAACAATACTGAATGTCTCTTATTTCCAGTTACATGTACATGACAGAAACAAATTTGAAGACTCCATCACCAGTAGCTCAATACAACATGTGAAGACTCCATCACCTTAAGTGAACCACCAGTAGCTCAATACAACATGTGAAGACTCCATCACTTTAGTGAACCACCAGTAGCTCAATACAACATGTGAAGACTCCATCACCTTAAGTGAACCACCAGTAGCTCAATACAACATGTGAAGACTCCATCACTTTAGTGAACCACCAGTAGCTCAATACAACATGTGAAGACTCCATCACCTTAAGTGAACCACCAGTAGCTCAATACAACATGTGAAGACTCCATCACCTTAAGTGAACCACCAGTAGCTCAATACAACATGTGAAGACTCCATCACCTTAAGTGAACCACCAGTAGCTCAATACAACATGTGAAGACTCCATCACCTTAAGTGAACCACCAGTAGCTCAATACAACATGTGAAGACTCCATCACCTTAAGTGAACCACCAGTAGCTCAATACAACATGTGAAGACTCCATCACTTTAGTGAACCACCAGTAGCTTAATACAACATGTACGTGAAGACTCCATCACCTTAAGTGAACCACCAGTAGCTCAATACAACATGTGAAGACTCCATCACCTTAAGTGAACCACCAGTAGCTCAATACAACATGTGAAGACTCCATCACCTGAACCACCAGTAGCTCAATACAACATGTGAAGACTCCATCACCTGAACCACCAGTAGCTCAATACAACATGTGAAGACTCCATCACCTGAACCACCAGTAGCTCAATACAACTGTCTAAGTAAACTACATGTACTCGTTGCCAAACACAAGTTACAGCATAACAGCAGTATTGATTCAAGCAGTTATAACATCTGGAAGTCAACCAATAAGAATACTTATAAACCTACCTGGGGTTTGTTATCGGAGTTGTCAAGGCAACCTTCTTGTCATTACACAATATATAATAATCAGATCTCATTTTGGCACACAAGCTCAAAATGTGGGATACGTAAATAATTCACTGATTATAAGACGAGACGAATTCAGAGTCTGAACAGCGATTACTACAGCCTC